ACAGGCGCCTGCGTGCGCGCGCGCGAGGCCCGGCTTGTTCCCCTTCCGAACGCCCGCGCCGCGCATGCGCACGGCGCACCGGCGGTCTCCGTTTGTTTGAACAGGAAGGCGGACATATTAGTCGGTCTCAGAGCTCCTCGCCCCACCCCCCAGGCATTCGCCTCCGCGACTCGCCCTTTTCCCAGCCCGACCGCAGCCCCTCCCAGGAGCTCCCGTAGCAGCAGCCGCCGGGACCCCACGGTCGTCTTCCTCACCGGCCCGCTCTCCAGCCGGTCTGCCCCTGAGTCGTCTTCGGGCCGCCGACCTCGCCCTGCCCCGCCGGACACAGCGGTAGCAAGCCCAGCAGCGACCGGTTAGAAATGGGAGCGTGATCCTGGTCCGTGGGGGTCAGGTCTTGGGCCGAGGCTCATCAGCGCGTCGGGCCGTGCCGAGAGGAACCAGGGATGCGGGGCTAGACCACCTCCAGCGCCTTCGAGCGGAGCGGGGCCGGCCCGGGGCCCAGGCGGCGGCGGCAGCTGGCGCAGCTCCTCACCCGCCCTTAGCTTTCGCCTTTCCTCTTCGCCCTCCCTGGCTGCCCCGAGGGAGTCTCCACCCTGCTGCGCTCCGTCTTCCCGCCGCTGCCCTTCTCTGGACTGGGCCCCGCCATGGCGAAGGCTGCCGGGGCCCGCTAGGCTGAGGCGCCTCGCCGGAGCGACCCGGAGGCAGGCGACGGCGCTGTCGGCTGTCGCGAGGGGCTGCCGGGTGGGATGCGACTTTGGACATCGGAGCGGCTGCGGGTCGCTGTCACCCCCAGCCTGGGGTCTGGAGAGCCGAAGTCCCCTCAGTGAGGGGGAAGAGGGGGAACCGGGCACACCTGGTGACCCCGAGGTTCCGACTCTTCTGCCCGGCGGCTGCAAACCCCTCGCGGAGGAAGTTGGTTGAACTTGTTTTCCGCTGCGAAGGTATTGTACGAGTAGCAGCATCATGTCGACTGGGGACAGTTTTGAGACTCGGTTTGAAAAAATCGACAACCTCCTGCGGGATCCCAAATCGGAAGTGAATTCAGATTGTTTGCTGGTGAGTGCCGCTGTTTTCTCTGGGTTGCCTTGGGTTCCTCTTGTTTGCTGTCTGGTTAACTGCAACGCGTCTCAGGTGTGCATAGTCATCTTGGGAAGATGCCAGATTTCGCTTTGGAAGAATTTCGGAGTACTAGTAAACTTCATAATTCAAGTCCCTTTTTAGCCATTTCCCTGGTTCTCTACTAGCTACTCAGAACTTAGGGTTTTGATTCCGCTTGTCAGTCCCTCAAAATTCTTAGAAACTGCTATTGCAGGTCGTTTCAGAACGTTAGCACGTCGAAGTTTATAGTGTATAGTTTGGTGAATGACGATTTTAGCATTAATCTTCCCTATTAGTTTGACGGTAGTATTGAAAAATCTACTTTCTATTTACAGAATTAGTTCCTGGGTTTGGAATTTAGACTTGGAAATGATAATGGAGAATTGATGCCGAGGAAGTGATTTTTAAGATAAAATTTTAGGTGTCTTGAGGCTAAAAAAACTTTGCTGAACGTTAAATGCAAACACCTAAGTTAACTATATTAGCCCAGCACAAGGTTGATGGCTTTTGAAATATCGTTAGTAAATATATTTCACATATATTAATAACTCTTTTTGATGATAATGAACTTATTATTACCATTTTAAAAATGTTTTAAAGTTCGTAGGTCACAAAAGGTCAAAATCCAACCTAAAAATTGTCCAGTCGTTGATAGCAAATGCAATTATTTGTAAATGATTGACATTTGAGCACTGCCAATACAGTTCAACAGAATTTTCCCTCTTACTACTAGAAATTATATTTTAATACTCTTTCAGTTCAAACAAAATCATGTTTCAGTGTCTATATGGACATGGGAGTCTCAGAGAGTTATCTTTGTATACTCATAGTTTGAATATTTAAGAATAATAGAATAATGCCATTCAGAGAGATGACATTTTAAAATCTCAACATTGAATAAGAAAATTTTGTAGGTTAAAAATGTGTATTTCAGTTATTCTAAACATTTCTGTACAGTTTTAACTGAGTAAGGTTTCTCACCAAAGCTTTCAGAATTGCCCTAAGCATACTTGAGTGTGTGGGTAATGTTTTTGAAGTGTTTCACCCACATTATAGATTCTCTTTCATACTGAGAAACAAGGTTGATGCATAAGAAATTTAAATTTTTTTATTGAATGTTAAAAGTAAAAGGAATTAGAATACATATCTAATGTATTCCACATTTTATGCCTTTAAATATTTACTAAAATTGTGTCCTAGATTTTTTTATTGTTATTGTTAATGTTCCTGCCATTTTGAACCCAGCACATGCTAGACAAGCACTTCACCACTGAGATGTTGATCCTGTTTTGCTTTTTTCTCCCCCTGTTATGAAGTAGATTATAAGGAGGATTTAGGAGCTTGTTTGTATTTTTATTGCTTGTTTTCTCTTTTGTTACAGCATCATTTGGTAGGTACCTGATAGAGTTGTGGAGAGTACAAGGAGATAAATACATGTTATATGGACGCTTCAGAGTTGAATCCACTTAGGAAAACATTTTAATATAGCATACACAGAAACAAAGAAAAACAGTTTACAGATTGAGAAAACAACTGATTAATTCCAAATGACTGGTATCTTTCAGTCATCTGTCTGTATCATGAAAACTGAAGGTTGCTGTCAGTTCAGAGTGCCAAAGTGTTCTTTATGATGAATAGGCTACTGAATTGAGGATAACATAGAAGATGGATGCATCCATGACTGGCTGTGTCATGTTTAGAGAAACAAGTTAAAGTTGGAAGGACAGTGGGGTTAGATTTGTCAGATTTAAGTGCATTTAGGGCTGTCACAGAATAAATGAAGAAGATTAATTTAGTAGTTATATGCAAGATAAAGTGAGACTGGAGAATTTTAAGAGTGCTATAATAGTCTACTGACAGTTGAATCCCAAGCTAGGATATGAAAATAGGAAGAATTGATAGAACTTGATTGACAGAGTTTAAGAGGAGAAGGGAGAACCAGAGAGGCATTTAGTCAAATGACTCCAAAAATGTTGAGCCTGGCTGGGTTACTTTGAAAATGGTGAAAATGGTCAGGTTTTGAAATCGCTTAAAAAAAAAATAGCTCTACAGATGTATTTTAAATGTGTTGTATTTGACAGGATAGTGAGATGAGTGAGAAGAAAGGGTCTGTAGACTGTTGGAGATGTGGAGTTAAACTTACAGTAAAAGATAGTGATTTGGGAATCATTTAAATAAAGTCGAAACTGATAGAATGAAAAGGAATAACCTAGAGAGAGATCTAAGGGTGAAAAACAAAGGTTGAATAAAGAGGAAGAGTCAAAGAAGCAAGCACTCTATGTCCTTTGCGTTAAGGTAGCCAAGTAGCTTTAGGAGTACAAGACTTTAAAGAAACGTTTGGAGAATTAATATTGAATGGACAGATTTGATTACTTTCTGTTGTAATCTTATAATCTTGATTTTTTTTTTTAAATTTCATTATTGAAGGTGACTTGAAATTTTATTATCAGGTCACCCTGAACTTTAAAGATGGGGATTTTCTTTGGAAACAGAAATCCTCTTTCCAGTTTTATAGTGTCTAGCATGAATTTTTTTTGTACAATATTTTATGTTTATCATTGGGCATTCATTCATTCACTTACTCTACTATTCGCAGTGACTTATGTTACTACATTTTTCAATGAATCTGTAATTGCTTTGTATGGAATTTGGACCTGTTTTAGATTGGAGGTTTAACACTCCTTTTTCCTTGGTTGCCTCTCTAGCTTTGAATGTGTGTGAGCTGTGTACATATAGGTACTGTTAGAGACCAGAAGAAAGGTGTCGACTCCTGGAGCTGGAGTTACTGGTGGCTGTAAGTCACCTATTTGAGTACTGTTAACTGAACTGGTGTCTTCTGCAAGAGCAACAAGAGCTTTTAGCTGCTCTTCAGCCACTGTCTAGATCGCTTTAATCCTTGGTGACTGATTTAGCTGATACTCTGTTCATATTATTTGCCACATACTATACTTGTCATTCTAGTCTTTTATGATCTCTTTAAATAAGTTGTGGGATTGTTTGCTTCTGGATTCAGTTTTCAATAATGAAAGCTCTCTTTTGGTTTCACAACAGTTTGCTAGCAAATGTCTTTAAATCTAACTTTACCCAGAAAACACTTATTTGGGACAGTAATAATGTTATCATTTATACAATAATACTTTGAAGAAATGCTAGTAAGTGGCTGTCCAACCTTTTCTTCAAGAGCATGACTTTCTTTTCGTTTTCTTCTAACCGGTGAAGTGTAAGATGGGTGGATAAAGGGGAAGGGGGATTTGTATTATTTACAACATTCTCTCACTGTTGTGACCCTTAGTACATATTTGTTACGTTTTTTCTCATTAGTCAATTTTTTTTCAGAATGTGGAAGCAATTGTAAAAAAAATTGTATGCTGGTTTTCATTTTTCTTCTGTAAAATTCTCTTTTCTGTATTTTTATTTAGTGCTTTCCCCATCTTTTTATTTTAGATTTATTTTCTTCTCTTTGCCGTATTCTTTGCCTTGAATGTGATGGATAATGCATTACAAACTTGAAGCATCAATTCCTTAGCACTCTTTTCATTATCTGTAAATCTTTTTATATACATATTTATTGTTTGTGTGTGTATATGTCTCTGTGTATATGTCTGTGTGTTTTTACTTGTCATGTAGATGTCAGAAGACAACTTTGTGTAGTTAGTTCTTTTAGGCCATGTGTGCTGGGGGAGTAACTCAGGTTGCCAGATTTGTGTTTTAAGCATCTTTATTGACTGAGTCATCTAGTTTGCTCTTTATTCTTTTGTTTACTCCAAATTTTAAATATTCAACTGGTTTTTAG